GTCTTTTAAAAGAGCTTCACGTTGTTCCTGAAATTTCTTAGCAGTGACTTCATAATTCTTATAATGTTTTTCCAACTGAATAGCTTCCATGATTTCACCTTCAGTCATTAACGATTCTAGGCAATTGTTGCATATACTCGCAAGGTTTGTGACCGGAAATAAAGCACCGATTGCAGCTACTGTCGTTAGTCTCGTTGATTGCAACGTGCTTTCAAATTTTTTGATTCGTTTTCTAAATTCTTTGTTATTTGCCTTTTCCAATCGACCTTGGGTTGTCCGTTGGGATTGAGTTTTCCAGGATTCATCGAGCGCTTCAAGTTCTTGAATCGACTCTTTACTCTTTTTAGAGATATCTGAACGCAGAATTGATATCCTTTTTGATATCATTAATTTAATATCTTTAACCGCAATTAAAGCATCCCTACATTTTGCTAAGATATCATCGAGAGATTCCTTGATTGGAATGTTAGATATTCTATTCTGAAAATCAACAAGAAATCCTAGTAAAGTACACTGAGTTTCTTCACTGAATTGAACAGCACTTGTTAAAGCCTTTTCAATAAAACTTTCTTCCCAACATGAAATCACTGTTTTAGCATTATGTATGTAAGTTCTAAAAGCAGCATCGATATCATCCACAGGGTCTGTTGCAGATGTATTTGCCTTTTTTGATTTTGGTGTCTTTTTATATGCTTCAGTAATGGGTGCCCAATAATCTTTGAACGAAAGTGATTCATCTTGATATTCTTTCATGAAATTTTCCATATTTGCCACACAACCTTTACCGAAAATCAGATCTCTATTCGCTTCTATTTGAAGTATTGATGTCAAGAAATTGGTAACATATGACCAAACTTGAGCCAAACTCTCTTTTAATGACTCTTCATTTTGAGATTTCTCCTTAAATAAAAGATCATTAAATACACGACGATCAAGATCAAGGTCAGTTGGAACTTTCCACTCTGGCCTTGTATGATGACATTGTTGTGGTGAATTCGTCAATTTCAATAGAGGAAAATGTTGTTTTGAAATTTGATAATGAGATTTTTCAATCTCAATGGATTCAAGTATATATACAAGATCACGTTCTTTATCATGAGTTGGTAAAGTAGGTTTCGATATATCAAATTCAACATTAGAGAAAATATTCGGAACAACATATAGACGATTAGGTGCCTTTATCCAAGCAAAAATTTTATGAACCATATCATTGATGATACTTTCCGAATCACTATCTAAACCATTTGTTTTAATTTTATCATCATCGTGTTTGATAATAAGTTCACTAAATTGCTGACAAATGATTGAAGCAATTTTTTTTGGTTCATCTGGTTCATCTACGGAATTATCAACTTTAATTGCATTATTGGTAGTATTTTTTGCTACCCAAGTAAAATTCTTTTTATAAACGAAAATTGCCCACTCTCGACAATAAAAGCAAGCACTACCATCACAAGCACGGAAACGATTAACATCTTTTGTTACGGATGCAACATCGATTCGAAGAGAAGAGACCGGCTGCAATTCTCCATTCGCTGCCTTGCCACTCGATTGTGGCTTAGCACGTAAGCTTACGAGCTTATTGTAAATGACATTAGGGTTAAATTCAATATCAGCCATTGTTTTTTTCTTTATTTTTTTAGAAAAGAAATAAGTATAGTAGTAACGTAAAGAAATTATTTTGTCTGATTTGCAGACGTTTTTTTTTTAATTTCGAAACGATAAAGTGTATTTTCACTAAAAAGGATTACAACCAAATTTTTTGTAAAAGTTTATATTTATGCAGGTTTGAACCGGCCTTTATATATTTACATCAGTCAATCAAAAGAGGCGAGGCACGAGATGATGCAGGTGCATTTTTTTTTGTATTAAATAAGAGCGAATCGTTGACGAATTTAGAATTACGTAATCAAATATCCCGTTATAATGATGTAACTTGTTATTACGGCATTCTAACGCTTCTAACGCTAAGGATGTACAGGTCATCGAGGAAAAATAGTATTAGGTTCGGACAACGATAAAAAAGAAAAAAACAGGAGGAATTCTTGTTTGTCCTTACGAAAATTGGATATAATGATGATCCTATTCGTTTTAACAAATCACTTTTTACCATTTTCGTTACAGAACAATTATTTTTTTTGAATCAAAAATAAGACAAAGTATTATAATAGATTAAAACCTTGGCTACACCAAATATGTACAAATACGTCTTTTTTGGTTAGTTATATGCCACATTCTCATTACATTGATAACCTAAATTCACGCTTCACACGCTTCACATTATCTCCACATCAACCTTTTACAACAGATTATGTGTTACAAGAAATATTTGAAATTATGATAGCATTAGGATTAGAAGGTTCAGCAAATAAATTAGGGATTGGTATTATAGAACATAATATTGAAACTGGTCAAGTAAATATTCTGGCAAATGTCCGCCACACACATATTACTCCACCAGGAACAGGTTTTTTACCGCGAGATACTGCAGCTCACCACAGAGCACATATTATTCCGGTGATTCGAGAAGCTTTAAAAACTGCTAATGTCAAAGTAAAAGATATTGATGTTATTTGTTATACAAAAGGTATTTTGCGTACATTTTTATATCGTTGAATTATGTTAGTGAATAATTTATTTTGCATCGATAGGACCTGGTATGGGAGCTCCTTTGGTATCTGTAGCTGTCGTTGCAAGAACCTTAGCACTGTTGTGGAATAAGCCAATTGTTGGTGTCAATCATTGTATAGGGCGTAAGTAATCCTTAATTTATATATATCAAATTCCTGATTTGAATATGGATGGTATTTAAAATATTTTTATATACTCGGAACTAAGAATAAATAAGAATGGAGAACGTACTGTTTACCTGTTAATTACCTGTTTTCTGTTGCCAGATATCGAAATGGGAAGAGAGATTACAGGAGCTAATAATCCGGTGGTATTATATGTGAGTGGTGGTAATACACAAGTAATTGCATATTCAGAACATAGGTATGATCTTACTTGAAGTTCTATTATTCACGGTGATCATTCATTTTATACGAATAATATTATTTATGAATAGATATAGAATTTTTGGTGAAACTCTTGATATCGCTGTTGGAAATTGTCTTGATAGGTTCGCGAGAATATTAAACTTACCAAATGATCCGAGTCCGGGATATAATATTGAACAATATGCTAAACGGTAATATTTTTTTTGAATTTAAATTTGTATTTTATTATTTTGTTGCTTAAATATCATTTTATTATTAGAGGAAACAAATTTATTGAATTACCCTATACGGTTAAAGGAATGGATGTTTCATTTTCAGGAATTTTATCCTTTATAGAAACAGTAGCAAATGAACAGCTTTCCACCGGTCAATGTACTCCTGAGGATCTTTGTTTCTCTTTACAGGAAACACTTTTTGCTATGTTGGTTGAGACAACCGAAAGAGCGATGGCACATATCGGAAGTAAAGAAGTTTTGATAGTCGGTGGTGTTGGATGTTAGAATCTTGTATAATTTCTGAATAAAATTTGTATATTTCAAATTTTCAATAAATCATGACTCGTTTTCTGAATACTTGCAGGTAACCTTCGTTTGCAAGAGATGATGGCACAGATGGCTGAACAACGTGGAGGAAAAGTATTTGCAACTGATGAACGGTAAATATAAATGATTAATTTGGCATTTCTAAAAATCACTTATTAATTTCATTACTTAACAACAAAATCAGTTTTTGTATTGATAACGGCATAATGATTGCCCATGCCGGATTACTTGCATTTAGGACTGGGTTCGTAACACCAATAGAGAAGGCAACTTGCACACAAAGGTATGATAATGAATTTGTATTGATAACTTTCCTTTATTAGTATTAAATAATATTATTTAACGTATTATTAGATTTAGAACCGATGAAGTCTATGTTGCTTGGAGAGATGCAAATTAACGATTATTATATGTTATAATCATGTCATCATAACTTGATGTCAAACTTTTGACGAGTAATTCAGATCGCCATTCTGGATGATTTTATTAATAAAAATTTTTATTTATATAAATAATAAATAATTGAATAAATAACATTACGTCGTCGTGTAACGAACGCCGTCGCGTAACGAACATTATCAAGATGTCGTTGCGTAATGACGTTTTTAAAACAACCAACCCTTTCTATTTAATCTTTAATGTTATCCGAATCTTAACCAAGCAATATTATGTTTACAATTATACGATCAAAAACAACTATGATAATGACATTGAGACTGGCCGGCTCATGGGCCTGCATAAAAGTTAAATCACACAATATGCAACAATTTACTATATACTTACAACTAATAACATACGTACTAAATTGTCGCGCAGTGTGATTTAACTTTTACGTAATAAGTAAATTACCTTGCTGAGACATACAGAATATGTAGACTCCGCATGTATCACCGAAATTTTACGTACGTATAATAATTTTAATCTCAGCAAGCTCATCAAAAGCAATTATAATAATGTCATGGCAATGATATTGATGATAATACTCTCTAAAGATGGGCAAGTTTAGTAAACGTATTATTACTTATTATTTCCTCTAATTTTTTGTGTAATAAGTAAATAATAAGGTAATATAAGCAAAAAAAAACGCAACCTGATTAGATTTAAAAATTTATTTTTCGATTACAATAATCAATCGTCATAGGTAATAATTAGTAATAATATGTATGTAAGTACGTACTGGATAAAAAATAAGCAATTTTATTACTTACATTATTACCAAAAAACCGAATAAGGACTAGTTTTTTTTAACCGGTCTTACTGTACGATTATTCGGTCTTAAAATCAGTCTTTATAAAAAAAAAGTGTTACATAATTATTCTCGATTACCGGAGTCATATCAGCTAGCCAATAAAGTGGTTAGAGGCCTAAATGATTAAGAACCATTTTTAGGACCGAAACTGGACTGAAAACATTAATGGGCCGGTCTTTTTAGAGACTGGGATGGACTGATTCATCACTACACAAAACTTTTAGTTGGCCTTATGAGATAAAGGATCACTTGTAGAGATGTTAACAATCCAGTCTTGTCCAGTCTATTCTTAAGACTTTGTTAGTCCAGACCAGTCCAGTCTTAAGACTTAGAGCAAACCAATTTTTTTCCATTAGTCTAAGACAAGACCACATAACACCCCTAATCACTTGCATTATAGGTGACTCCACTTTATAATCAGTTTAATTAATAATACATTTTATTGAAAAGGTCACCTATAGTGCAAGGGTTTCCAAATAACTGCTGCGAATAAATTAAATTTGGAAAATTTTACTCAAAATATCTATACTAAAGTTTGTGTTAAAGAATGTTTGTTTAAAGTAATATGAAATTTCTAATATAAAGCCTTCCACGAATTTTGTTTCTTCTGATAACATTGAGAAATATCCCGAATATTGGATATTCGAAATCGGATCATTTTCGTTTTTTAAATTTATTTTAATACTAATTTGTAATCTACAATTGCATTCATTATATCAGTATTCATAGATATATGTTTCCAATAACTCTTTAGGATGGTTTTGATTACCGAAACTATAACATCTATAAATAACCGCCTCAATATATGGTAGCGAACGGAAATGTTACTTCCTTAAGAATGGTATAAACCAATTTCCCCGACAACCATTTACCCGACACCCATTTCGCCGACGGCCATTTCACCGACAACCTATTTCCACTTTCCCGAAACCCGACAGTCCATTTCCCCGACAATTCATCTCGCCGACAATTTTGGTTAGGGTTGGCCCGTTTTATAGTTAGTGTTGGCTAGTGATTGTCGGTGAAATGAACTGTCGGGGTAATAGGCTGTCGGAGAAATAGTTTCGGGGAAGTGGGCTGTCGGGGAAATGGCCGTCGGCGAAATGGTTGTCGGGTAAATAGTTGTCGGGCAAATCTACCAAATCCCTTAAGAATTTCTAGTCCTCTGAATCATATAATGAATTTATTGAATTTTTTCTGTTAAATGTTCAGATATATACGTCCGATCTGTAATCATTAAATCAAACATCCGAGTTATATAAAACCCGGAGGTTTCCATATAAATTCATTCGAATCCTTTAGAGTTTTTGCTTTTAAGGAAAGCTTTGAATATAATGATGGGTAACAACAGTAGCTTAAAATTTTGCCTATGAAAGTGCCTTCTGCGTACTAACAAAAAATTTTCCTCGTGAAATTTTACTATAACTATAGCCATTTAAACCAAATACCCTAAACTAATTGCGAAACAGTTTTTTTTTTAATAAGATCACATAGTCAACGAAATTTTTTAGGGTGGTGATGCTAGACTTATAATTTTTTTTAATAAGATCACATAGTCAACGAAATTTTTTAGGGTGGTGATGCTAGACTTATAATGGGCAACGCGCGTGATATTTTTTTATAATTCGGGCCAGTACCATAATTCCGGCTGAAATTTAAGATCACATCCGTAAAATTCCGAAATGTGATCGACGCGCGTGATCCCGCATCCAGCATAATACAAGTCGCTCTCGCTATAGTGAACACTCGTTATAGTGAAGATTGGTTTATAGTGAAGAATTTGTTTAGAACAAAATTATCATTAATAAACTTTCGTTCGATATAATGAAG